AAAATGACATCATTGGCGATAAATCTAACCTAAATGGTAGGCAATAACTTCAGAAGCTTTTGAAAGTAAAAAATTAACAGAACAATAGGTAACAACTTTAGAAGTGAAATTTGAAAAACAAATTGTTGATCATCATGAACCCGAGTAGTAAGCAACAATTTCAGGCAATAAACTCAGAAGGTGTTGAAAATGAAAGATAGCCAGGACGATAGACAATGATTGTCGAGCGAGTGGAAATAAAACCATTGGTAATAGTTGTCTTACCTAGTAGGGGATAATGCCAGACGGTAAAAATAAAGAAATAAAAGCGTCATAGTAGGCCACGGCCCATATAACGACTTTTTCTACTTGGGAAGGGATTGATAGAGTGGTTCGCTGTGCACCACTTTGAATAATGTTGGTTGGTCCTGGTTTAAAACACGTCAATGTACCAAATTTCATTACAACGTCCGCAATATTTAATTTAGAATTAATTCACTCAGCTTGTTGCACTCTACTCTCTACTCTCCTGTGGTTTATGAGTAATGATGAAAAAACGAAATTGTTTCCATTTTTTAAAACAGAGGTGCTCTCCGCTTGCTTTGTACTGTGTAGTCGTGTACTTTGATCGATTTTGCCCAATTTCAAGACCAATCTATGCGGAAGAACTTCCAATCTTTGTGTCAGATTTGAAGCATACATCTTTGATTATGCGACCACGAAAATATTTACCACACACAGTATACACAGCAGAAGGACGCAGATACCTAGGATCGATTGAAAATTTGATACTGATTAGGAATATACATTTTTTATAGAATCTCAGAAGTAAGTAAATATCTTTCGTTGCAAATGTAGATGTAAGGCCATCTTGCGGTTTTGATAAAAAAATTGAATTGGAGCCTTATGCTACGATTATTATCGCAACTGGATTTTGTTCATTGAATTTAGATGCGTTGCTGCATTTCTGCGATCGGAAGAAGGTTTACGAGATTACGATATTACACAGAAAGACGGACAGCCGGATATGCTTATATTGATTTAGAATTTGATGCTAATCAAAAATATATTTCCAGGAGATTTCTGGAGCTCCCTTCTGACCTTCTGGCTTTTACAAACGTTTTGGCAAAATGAATATACAGCTCGCCCTTAAGTAACTGGTACAAAAATCCACTGCTTTGAATATTTATCGACAAAACTTTCGTGAAAATTCATAATTTTGGCCTGCAGTGGGCAATGGAAGCTGTAGGACGTTTGGGAATGGGAACTTGAAGCCGATAGGCTCATTTTGAGAGTGTTTATCGTAGACATTACACAAGCACACAGATGGACTGAAGGACATGCTTTTTTATGTCGGTTTGATACTGATCAAAAATATATTTTCACGGAATCTCTGGAGCTTCCTTCTGACTGTCTGGCTGCTGCAAATGTTTTGATAAAATGAATACATCCCACACCGGTCGGTGATGCAAAAGAAAAAATCCACCGACAGACTTGTTAAACTTTAGAAAAGAAGTTTCGACCTTCCATCTGCCTATCTATCTATCTCTCTCTCTCTCTCTCTCTCTCTCTCTCTCTCTCTCAATCATAAGAGAGATGAAGAAATCTCTTGCAATTTATTTGCTGCCTATCTCTATCAAAATTATTATTAAGTAATTTTATTCGATAAAAGAAGCTAAAAACCGATAGGTTATCTAATTCTAAAATTCGATGTATTTCTGAATGCATTACAAACAATTTTGATATATTTATGTAAAGATGCTGCACACATATATCCTTCCTATCTGCCTGCTTTACTATTAATCGGCCAGCAATACCTCACTGGAGACTAATTATGATATGATGAATTTTGTATACTGTTAAGGAATTGACGAGACGTGATCGTTCAAGTTAATCCTTTTTGATCAGTCACGTACAACGTAATTGCGCGAGAAAATATGAACTTTACGTTGCTTCACTGCCCGGTAACGTTTTTCGTTCTCTTCAGCTTAAATACACAAAAGCTGTAGCTTTATTTATTGATAACGGGAATTTTAAAGACACGTTTTTTAAAATGCAATTTTTTCTTTTTTTTGTTTTTTTACATTAATTTTTTTAAATTCATTAATGGTTTGTTTAAGATTTTTAATGACAATTTTTCTTTCTTCCGTACAATAAATAAGAAAAGAAAGGAATCACAAAACACGTCTTAAAGAAATTTTATAGCACAAATAAACGAAAATCGCTTTACGATAAACACTCATAAGCACAAATCGGAGCAAATAATTAATAATGAAATGGGAAAAAAAACCAAAAAAAAAAAAAAAACGCGAACCATCTCAGTCAACATATGAATACAATTGGACTAAAGTTGTTAGTTATATGCTAACCAAAATAGAGCAACAGCTGGAATTAGCTAAATGAAAAATAACAATAATAATTATAACAACAACAACAAGAATAACAACAATTGCTACAACAACAAACTGGACAGTTAGGCAAACAAACAATTCAGACATACAGGCAAGTTGTCTGCTTAAATTTATTGGTTGGCATATATAAGCACTTATCAGGGAAAAGGAAGAGAGCGGGACCCATACAGAGAGAGAGAGAGAGAGAAAGAGAGAGAGAGAGCGAGCGAGAGAAGGATGTAATAAACATTTTTGGCCCTTTCACTCAGATTGATTTACTTTTTGTGTTCGCCAAAGCAAAGAACAGATTTTCTTAAGTATTATTCTATTAAAATGTAAATATTACTTATACGTCATAGTGCGCAACAGCAATAACAGCGTGTAACAGAGAGAGAAAACATCAAAGAGCAAAAAAAAAAAAAAAATAAATAAATAAAAAGCTTTCCCATACAAACGATAGCGGGGATCGATGAAATCATTTTTTCTTTCTCTTTTCTTTTTTTTTACTCTCAGAGAGAATTTACATTCTATCTCTGATAATCTTTACTAGAAATTTGTTCAAAGCAAGCGCGTAAAGCGTAGAGCTTACTTGATAAACATATTTCGGACAATTTTAAAAATATTGATAACAGACAATACGAAAATCAATACAACGTAGAAAAATTTAATTTTTTTTTAACCAAACAACTCGCCAATATTGCTTCTTGATAAGAGCTAATAATGCACGTTTAGAAATGCGATCGCACACATGCTTGCATATTATTTCTAGATTATTACTGTTTTTAATTATTACCTACTTTGTTGTTGCTGCTACATTTCTTATCTTTAGCACCTATTTTTTTTTTTATTTTTTATTGTATTCAACGTTGTTTTATTTGTGAGGTTTTGGTCATAACCAGTTTTGTGGAATGAAAAGTTTCTAATGCTTTCCGTAATTAATACGATTTTATTGCCATTGTATTACATGATAGTCTGGAATTAATGATAATTTCTGGAAGCCAATTACAGTAAAGTAGAATCGGTGATGGGCTTTCTACAAATATCTCGATAATAGATTTCTTAAAATATTTTGGATAAGGGAAAGAGGTAAGTAACACTAGACCGACGCACAGAGCTTTCTTGTTAAGAGTGCCTGATAGTATCATGCCGACCAGCAGATCAGAAGAATTTTCACATACAGACCTTTTAAGGAGGAAAATAGAGGTAAAGGCAAACGGGTTTGATTAGGTTAAGTTGTCATCATCTCTTACTAGCGGTAAAGTTTATTAAAGTCAAAAACAGTCTATCTTCTCCCGTAATATTGCCTTATTGCATAGCTTAGTGGGCCTAAAAATGGTGGTTGTCACATCAACATGCGGAATTATACAAATTTAGATAGACGAATTTGATCGGTTTACCTGAAGTGAACAACCTAATAGTAGAGTTCACTAAGATCTCATACAATCTGCTTTTCCTTAAAACCATAGATTACTAATGTGCAAATGGTGGTCGTCACATCAACATCTGAAGGTACGGACGGTTAGGCAAAGAGGTTAGATATCGGCACGTTAGGTTAAGGTGCCACCATGTCAGCCTAATGGCAAAGCTCACTCAAACTTCGAATAGCATGTTTTCTTTGATGGCATTGCCTAAAAGCATGGGTTAGTGACGGTTGCCACATGAACACTGGGAAGTTTAGATATGTCCACAGACGAGTTTGATAAGCTTATCTTAGGTTAACAACTCAACAGCAGAGTTCACTGAGATTTCATATGCCCTGTGTTCTCTCCTTACATTGCTGAAAAATTTGGAAATGTGTAGTGTGGAAATGGTACTTGTCACGTCAATATGGCCACTTCCCGAATTGCTTTATATTTCCCCAATGTAAAATAAGTTAAGACTTTCAACAATAATTCCACCTAGGAGGCAGAAGTCTTGATTGCAAGGGCAGAGATCGCTAACGCAGGAGACTATCTTAGATTCAGAGCAGAAGCCAGGATTACTAATTACCAAATTAACGAATTCCCTAAAGTGTAAATATTATTAGCATAGGGAAACAGATTTATATGGCAATTGTATCTCACGGTGTCGACTTCCTATACTTGTCAAACACAGAATATACTTACTATGTAATTAGGTTGTAATGAAACGACTTCACAAAATGACAAAAATATTTTCGAAAACAGGGACGGACAGATACAATTGCCGTACGTACTTAACTGGTTATAAGAAAGCTTACTGAACATTTTACATGTTCTAAATGCACATTCAAACAAATACCTTAAATCTGTTCCCGTTAATGTCATATAACAATAAGGAACACCTTGTCCTTTGATGAATGTTTTTTCCTAAGAGACCTTGATAGCGAACGTATTGGATTAAACTAATGACTACACATCGTCATCGAAAAAAAGGGAATAACTACACTAAAGCACTAACAACAACTAGCAAGTCATTTTAAAACTGAATTTTTTCTTTTCAAAAAAAAAAAAAAACAAAAGTTTGAGAAATTCTGCCTAAGTAAACAAATTCATCTAGTAGGCAATAGTTTCACTAGTTTATATTGCCACTATCAAAGCGTTGCCATTTATTTAGCAAATGCACAAACCATTTGAAAAAAGAAAAATTGAAAAAAAAATACTACATACATACCGCTTTACGTTTATCTGCTTCAGATGCGGCAGAATTTGAACGATTTCGAAATAAATCCATTACTTTGGTCATAGGTGAGCGTGTTGCATCGGCACGTCGCACAGCGGTAACCGTGTGATAATACTAAAGTAAGCAAGAAGAATAAATATTAAAATTTCTATGCTTATAAGTAAAAAAGGAGAAAAAAACATTAATTTACTTGAGCATCACTGCCTTGATGGGGATGGGCTGAACCATCTTTGTACTTGCTTTTCACAGAAGTGCCTTCCGCTGTGGTTATCGTAACGGCAGGATGCTGTTTATGATGATGATGATGATGATGACCTCCACCAATAAGGCCGGAATTTTGTAAAGCTACTTTCATGGAATTCATAACGCCACCACCCGTACCGCCGCCGCCAACGCCGCCGCCGCCGCCCGTAGCCGAATGTGTACTACTGGCACTACCAGTTTCATTACCCGTCCCCGCCGCTGCTGCAGCCGCCGACAAAGGATCGAGTAGGATTTTCTCTTTTTGCCGTTTGGACGGTCGAAACACATCAAAAATGGTAGGCCGACGATTTGGACTAGCAATGCCATGCACTGTGGATTGATTAAGTACTGGGGAATCTTCACCACTGCGTCGTCGCTCGAGTGAGCCGGAACGCGATGAGGCCGCTACACGTTCTGTACTGCGTGAGATCTTTTCTGCATTGCGATTTAATTTTTCCAATTTCGCAGCTTCGCGTTCTAAACGACGCGCCGTTTCACGTTCAATCTTACGCGCCTCCTTCTCTCGCCGACTTTGCTCTTTCTCTTGGCGTCTATTGGAATAATTTATTACACGATGTTTGTGTTAGTTGAAAGAGTTTTGAAATATGTTTCTAAATATATTTATAAATAAATTTTACCTCGCTTCCTCTTTCATCTTTTTATTTGCTTTGCGGGCTGCTTTGGCATTGGGCTCTGCGGGAGCACTAGACGGCCTGGATGTGGGTAATTTAGCATCTTGTTCCTAAATGTAAAGATGTTATTAACTCGACATGAATAAAAATAAGAAATTAATTTATATAAATTTTCAATTAAAAGGCAATGTTCTGAGCTTGTTTTTTTTTTGTTGTTTTTCTTTGACTTATTTTTTAAAGGAAGTAATAGTTGATGGTCTAGTTGGTGAAGCTAAATATAATTGATTAGATGGAAACCTTGTTGTGTTAAAGAAAATTCAACAGAATATTAAATCATCAATTATACAATTTTTTTATGATTACTGAAAGATGACGTCATCTGTTTAATTAAAAAATTATCTTAAAAAAATTTTCAAAAGCAATTTTTTATATTCTTGTACCCATTGTACAGACAGCATATTAAGTTTGAAAGGATTTATGCGACATCCAAAAGGAACTTTTGTTACACCAGTCTAAAGCTTGTCTGTCCATCTGTACGTCTAGTTTTCTTCTTCTCGGCCTACAGGCCGTAATTTTTTAGATATTTAGATGAAATTTTGTAGACTGACATATTTTGCCAGAAAGATGAACGCTTTTGAAAATTGTACAGATTGGGCCACACTCCTCCGACCGCTTCCTATATGATACTTTATTTTGAAATGCACATTATATGAACAAGTTTATTACGCGAAGTGGTGTAGGGTATTTAATCGTAGGCCATATCTCACTTTTTTACTTTTTCTGTTTCTGTTTTGTTTTTTTTTTTGTTTCTTTGTTTTAAATTTTGCGGCTGAATGAGTTCGAATATAAACAATATTCATACACATCGGAGAGATTCAAAAACGGTGTCAGCGCATTTCATATGAATCCATAAATTTCACTTCTTGTCACGTGTAGCCTTCAGAGAGTCTCATTTGCTATCGTAAAAAATTTAAAGAAAAAAAAACATTTTTTTTTTTCATCGAAAAACAGAAACAAACAACAAGAAAATAAAATAGAACGAAAAAATTCCGGAATACATAATAATCGCAATTGAAATTGTAATGAATTAAACATAAGGTTAACAAAGAGTAAGAAACGTTAAGTGAGCCTTGAACTTAGTATTAAAGAGAACGCTGGGAATTGTAATCAGATAAGCGTAGTGTAGCAGTTAAAAAAGGTATTTAATTTTTTACATTTACTATTAATGCAAGGCCCGGCGGTAAAGAATTTTTAATAGAATTACTTTCAAAATAGGCAAGAGAGACTACTAACGGTATAAAAGTATCAGCAAAAAAAAGAAAAAAAAAAATTGAAATATTAAAGCACTCAGTATACTCGTGGCTCCTAAATCGAGAGACCCTGCCTTGCATCTACAACTCATACAGTGTTCTCTGGAGTTAATATAAATCTAACCACAAATCGAGCCCTTTAACAGATAAACTGGTCTTTCTCTACCGTTTCCATGTTCCGCGGTTGTTGTCTTTTCTTTTCCTAGACTGACTGCCTACTCTCACCAACCAAATACAATAGATATCGTTAGAGCAGCTGATCACAAAAAGAGAGTAATAGGGTAGTATTTTTTAGATCATGTTTGGCCTTGGAAACTCCCTGTTCATTGGACTTCTTCGCTAGTGTAAAGATTATCCTCCTCTCTCTCTCTTTCATCGCGATGGACATAATGATAAGTGAGTGAAAACAAAAAAATATTCATTTGTGCATTTCGTTGCCAAAGTAACTTCAAATTTGGTCTTTGAAGATGACTACTCATTGGGCTTCCCTCTAGTAGAAATAATTTCGATTACCGTGTTCGAAAAGTTGTTACATTAAGTGCATTGTATGTAACATAGTTCCTAACAACTTGAACACTGAAAGGGTTTGCGTTCTCAAATTAGTTTTTCTCGCGGTAAGTTAGTTGATAAAAAACTAGGGAGATAGGGAGATGGATGTACAATTACTTATTTCAAAATAATTCAAGTTTTGACTTGATTTAACCACGTCTGCCCATCCGTCCAGACAAGTTTATGGTAACATCTTTCTGGTCATAAAAGTTTTTGCACGCAAGTTAATACTGAAAGAAAACGGGCCAAATCGATTAAAGGACGTTAAACAAAGTAGAAAATAAACTTCTCTCTTTTAGAAAGCAAAAAATATTGAGCTTCTCGCTCATTATTTATAAAGTAAACAAGTAAAAAGACTATAGTAGGCCTAGGCCCGCTATTAAATAGCCTGCGCGCGCCACCCTACAGTTAATTATACAACGGCTTTTCAAATTAAGGTGTTATATGGGAAGTGGCCGAAAATGTGGTCCCACCTGAAGCATTTGCAGCATGTAGGTTGAATACCAGAAAACAAGTCGGGCAGATAGATTTCAGGAAGTGATGGTGAATTGTTTGGTAAAATGCAAGATGGGTCTATCTTATGTACTCCTAGGTGTTGCATACGTCCGCACGAACTTAATACACCCTTGCACCAAAACTGGTATAGATATCAAAATAAAAATTTGCTGCCGATACAACGACAGAATATTCCGGATGGATTCTATTGATGATGCGATCGATACAGTGTATGACAAAGGGAAAACTCGTCAAGCCCGAAGTTCCTGTGTGTGTGTGTAAATTACCTCAGTGAAGAGATATTTCTCTATAGGTACTTTCTCTTCTGCACTCTTTTCTTTATAAAGAAGCAAAAAGTATTGATTTGAAGTTTGGCAACAGTGCTTTAAAAAGTTACATGAACATTTTTTGGTAAAAGTGACTAAATTATTTATGAGCACTTCCGCCAATAGGTAAGTCTTGCTTTTAAAAACCCAATATTCGAGAAATACGAATTTTCAAGAAGATGGAAACGCTGCATAAAAGATATCTTTAACTTGCTGAAAAAAGAAAATAATGTTGGATGGAAAACTTACGTCTTCCGATTGTACGGCAGTGGTGCGACCACTTTCCGCTGCGCTTTCATCAGTGTAATAATATTTCTTTGGATGGTGTTGCTGTTGCTGTTGTTGAATGTGTGCCAATTTTGTAATTGTCGAAGATATATCACCTCTTTTAATCCATACCTCATCTAAATCGGGAAAGTCACTCATACGTTTCAATTTCTGCACATTAGTATCACAGTTCGATAGTTGTTGTTGTTGTTGTTGATGCTGCATTTGCTTTTGACCGAATACGGGTGAGGAAGAGGTTTCTAATCCCATATTATTAATGGAATTTAAACTATCAGTGGGCGTACGTATCTCTATAAGGGAAGTATCAAAAAATTCCTTGGAAAAGTGAGGTTTTGCCAGAGGATATTTATTGCTACCCTGGCGCTGTGGGAAGACATTTTGCACCGAAGCATAATCGCCCGAGCTACAAGGAAAACTTATAGTATGTGCGTTCGAAGCGGCTTTTAAATGTTGCAAATTCTGAGCTTCTACCCGCAAAGTCGCCGGTATTTCGGGCGTTTCCTGAGCTCTAGTTATGGTAAATTTCCCTCTTACAATCGTCGTGTTAGGGTTAGTAACTGTTACAGAGGAATTGGTGACTTTTGCATTTGCCATAAAAGTCAATGGCAGCTTGGTGGGTGGAGCTTTAGCCGATTCCAGAAGGTTAATTAAAGCCGGTGGTAATATCGTAGGTGGTATAGGAGGCGGCGGTGGAGGTGACGAATGCTCTGGAGCGACTGTAACTGTTTTGATTTCCTCTATATTACTCGTATTAATACTATCGATTTTATGCATGAATTGTTGACGTAATTTTTCCAACTCTTTAAACTTCTCCGCGGAAGCTTGATCTGTAGCGGGCGGTGGTAAAGGAGGTGGTGTAGGTTTATTACTACTACGATCTTGTTTGATAGCAGCTATCAAGGCCGCATTACCGGCATCAGTAACGGAGGGCAAAGGTGATTTATCTGCGTCATCTTCATCTTCTTCCTCTTTGCATTGCGATAAACGACGCCGTTCCGTGAATGGCATTAAATACGGTCTCATATGGAATATATCGGCGGAAAAATACTTAGGCATTTGATTAGAATTTGCAAGCAATTCGACTGCACGATTCCTATTAATACCGTTATCGTCGTTATCCTCGCTATCACTAGATGAACTATCGCTACTGCTCTCGTATTGGAAAGACGAAGAACGTGGAAAACTTTTTGCAATTGTCGATTTCATTTTCTTTCCTTCCGCCTGATTCGTATCGCTGCTATCATCGCTAAGTGAACTTTCCGTATCTGTTTCGTAACCATCAATTTCCGCATGTTCCAAATCGGCCATCGAAGCTTCGAAAGCACTCTCAAATACATCATCAATTAAATGAGGCAATTGTGGGGCCGGTAACGGCAACGGTTGATTATTCGGCAAATTTAATTCACCGCTATTATCTCCTCCTAACCCGCCAATCGAATTAATGCCCGGTTCCGAAGACATATCCGAAAAAGAACTTTTACTCAATGACTTCTCCGTACCGTCCTGTTTCTCTTCATGACTCATCGAAGACATGGAAGCCGAGGCGGATATCGGGTATTTACCATTTGCAGATGGCAGATTTTCCTCAATTAATTCACAATTTGTGGCCATTGTTGTTTTTTTTTTTTTTTTTTAGAATAAAAATATTTTTATTTAAAATAATTGTTTTTTTTCTCAGGTTTGTTTTTTTTTGTTTTGTTGTTTTGTATTAAAAAGAAACAGATACTAAACACGTTAATCTTTTCTTTTGAACGACATTTGGTTATTTGTTCTATTTTTAACAATTGTTTAAAAAAAAAATATATATATATAAAAAAATATTTGTCCTTTTTTTATTATTAGTTAATATTGTTACGGCTTAGTCAGAGCATCACGCACAAGTTTCATTTGTAAATAGTAAAATATAAAATAAATTATTTACGCTTGTCGATGTTTGAATTCTCGTGGTTTGTTTGTGCTCTTTTTTTGTTGCTTTTTTTTTTGTTAAGTGTGACGCATTTACACTTTTTTTCATAAATAAAAATATCTGTAAAAGCATAAAGTAATAAATTAAGAAATTTTTTTTATAGCTTCTGCAATTGGGCAAAGGATCATAATATTGAAGTTCATTCGGTGATATGATTCTAAATAATGGCATTAAGAGCTAGTAACTCTCTTCATGCATAGGCCGAAAAACTTTGGCGTATTCATTGGGAAAGTAACACTGTATGAGTACACACTGAAGGACTGAAGTGGGCAACCGCTCACCGTCAGATACTCTTACTCCACTCTAAAGGTATTCAAGTTTGCACGAGAAGTAGTCCCAAAAGTTGCCCAATCCGAGCCATGTTCGTCCTTGAGTTAAAAGACGTCGGTCAACATTCATCAAAATGATCCTAAGAATTGGGGCGCAAAAAAATAAGAAGGACAGGCGGACAGACAAACCTAAATTGATGGCAATAAAAAGAGTTGGATCTATCTCAAGCCCTTCTGGGTGTTGCATAAATCTGCACAGAACTTAATACACCCTTCTACCACGAGTGCACTAGGTTGTAAAAAGAAAATAAGGGAATTGAAACAAAAGCCACAGTGGAAGGGAAGCGATGGAAGCATTTAATACTTTGTGCGGATAATATTTTAGCTAAATGCTTTCTCGCCTTTCTACATTCGTTCACCTTCAGGTCGAACGTACATTGGTGCTGCTACATTTTCCCTTTCCCCCTTAACCAACAAGCTCTCTTGAGCACCGCCATGTCTAGGCTCAACGAACGCGTAATAAGTGGCCCGTTTCACGTAAAAGAAACAAATCAAAGATTCTAAAATGTACACATGTGAAGTTCAGAGTAAGAATCTGAATCCATTGAGTTATATCCGTCCGTCCATCATCTGTGAGTAGATCAAACTAGAAAGTAGACAAAATCTGGCAAGAACTGTACCCTAACCCGAAAATAGAGATATAAATCTTAGTATGAATGGATTTAACAAAATCGTTTGAACCTTTAACGCAAAGTGACTTGTGTCGCTAAAGACGTGAGCTTTGAAAAGATGTTACTACAAGTATTTCCTAAAGTTACGTAAAAGGTTGAGGTAAGACACTACGCGCGCGATCGACCAATTGGGCAGTTCTTATAAAGTTTTTTGACAAGAAACCAACCAATCGATATCGACCAGTTTCGTATATCGAATCTTGCTCAAAATTGTTGACGACAAGACCAAATGGCGAACAACACAAGGTATGCCAGAAGGCAAGTATCAATCAATACTTCGGGCGCTTGAGAATGTTTAATCTTGCTGAAATTTTGCACAACGCGTTCCAGGTAGGTATCACAGATTCGCCTGAAGACGTATATTGCTCGATTGATCAGAGTCTAAAAGAATTGAGGTTAGAAAGAAAAAAAATAAATAGAGTACATACTACGAAGGAAGGCCATCATAAATATTCTGAAAAAATTGGTTTATTGATTGTACAGATCAGGACTACAATATAAAAATACTCCGAGAAGTGAAAAGAAACATTGCGGCCGATACTTGCCATAAATGCGACCGCAATCAAGAATACGGATGAGTTCATAATTTAATATCCGATAAGACTGTAGGCTACGTTCGGTGATAAAACAAAAAGTGGCAGAATATGTCACATATCTGAATCCCTGTGTGGTGATTACCAAGTACGAGATTAGTAGCACAATACGACAAACAGTCGTCGTATCATAACAGCCGTTGTGATTAAGAGGAGCCCCCCATCTCTTCAATCTACAGTCAGATACTTTCGGAGCTCACTCACAATCACTCATGACCAGCATGAAATTTTTGAAGAACCATTCTCAATTCCCAAACTGGAACATAGACCAGTGGAATATGCTTTACAGACAGTGACCGTAGATTTTTCTATGACTAAGGAGATACCAATCAAAGCAATGTATTTATTTACCTTGAAGTCCATCTTGCACTTACTTCTCTACTTCGCAAGATTACATGAAAGTACGACTTTAGACGAAGCAAGTTGGAACAGGAATAGCAACAAACTCTTTAATGGTATAATTACGGCGGATCCTCCCTTTTGAAAACTTTTGCCCTACCTGGCAAAACTAGTTTAGTGGCTGAGAAATCAAGCGCTTTATATCATTTCTATCAAGGCCATGTAACTCGTTTTATTATGATATTGATAGAAGAGACTCCAAGCTGACTTAGTCTGATGTCCAGGTGACAGTTATTTCGCTAGTTCGTCGGATTGTACGGAGGTACGACTACAAAGTAATGGGATAGTATGCAGATCTTCTCCTCCATTTAATGGCGACGCCGAGCCGTAAAAAACAAGAACAGCAAGAAACACTTTAATGGTATAATTACAGCAGGTACTGCAGAACTAGACTTCGGAAAATTTTTGAAAAATTTGAAACCCAAGTTTTAGACTACATATCAACGTCTGTATGCATTTGCTTCAGCGACTGAGAGATCAAGCACTTTATATCATTTCTATTAAGGCCATGAAACTCTTTTCACGATGACGTCGACACAAGAAATGCTAAGCTGGCTTACTCCGACATCCAGCTGACAGTTATACTTCTAGTTCGCTGAGCTGTATGGAGGTACGACCACACACAGAAGGGATGATATGTAGATCTTCTCGCCAATTTTTGGAGAACGTAAAGCCTAAGTCTTAGGCTACACATCAACATCTGTTTACATTTGTTCTAGGGACTGAGAGATTAAGCAATTTGCATTATATATCGATCAAGGCCTCGTAACTCCTTTTACTAGGAAAATTTTGCCAATTAAGATCGTTATGACTTTGGAGGAAAAATCAAAGAAGTGAACTTTTACTCATTTAGCGACTACTTGTAGATAATAGATCGACCTATCATAGTTGCACTACCTTACATGTGGATATTTTATCATATAATTGCTTATCTCTTTCAATTTAAAATTTCTCACTAAAAATCATTCACTAGCAGTATCTTCTTTGATATGCTTTGTTTTGTTCAGAGTTCATCTTACAAACCGATATTTCAAAGTCATAAATTATTTGGTATTCAATTGACAATTAATTGCCTTTAATTAGTGTGCACAATAGCAAGCGCAATGCAATACAAAAAAAAATTAGCAAATGTCCAATAGTAACAGCTTTGTTGGCAACAACACCCAACACATTGCTATAAATACACATACATACACACACACACATCCATAAAAATGATAAATAATAATATGTAAATAGCAGCAAACAAACAAACAACCAAACAAATAAATACACAAACATACACACTCACGAAACCTTTAGAAATGTATAGATTTTTATAAACATCCAAGATACGAGCGATCTAATAAACACACAGTGTGCGACGAATAATGCACCACAACAAACATTTATATATCAATTTTAATTGAATGGCTGCAGCGCATAACAGTAACAGCAACAACAGCAGCGACACTCAACCTCAAGTCTATGCCTATATGTTGAAGAAATTCAACGATCATCAATGTAATGCGTGCATATGTTATGATGTAAAACAAAATAATTTTTTTTTTTTTTTTTCTATTTTATTTCAATTATTTTCTATTTATTTAAGGAAACCGCAAAGGAAAATGAAAGTGTTGAAAAATATTTGAAAATTAGAAAAAAAAAAGAAGAAACGAAAATAATATCAGTTTGTACCCTATACCAGTGGTTTGCAACCCACGGCCCGCGGGTCATTGAGGGATCCATTTGATACACTTCAGTAGCGAAAACACTGACTTTAAACTCGACTTGACTAAATTCATGTCATAAGTTCAACATCAGGGAAGCCATTGATATCAAAAAAAGGGTTCATAAAAAAAGAAAATACCTCTAATCCAAACATTTGTTTAATGCTCACATTTTGGCTGATTTTGCTCCTCTGCGACAAATGGTTGCCGACCTCTACCTTTTGACAGCTTTTTTCTTTCTTCTTCTATTGAATTCCACGCACAGGTCTTAAGTCCCCTTTCACTATGACTTTTCATGTTTTTAGAAGCATATAAGTCTCGTGACCTGGCATTGGAAATCACTACTATTTCTCACATATCTGGAAGCACAGGAGTTCCGAAGACAAGTCTTTAGAATAGATTGCGAATCTTTCTTCCGATGTTCCTGAAAGCAAAGGAACTTCTCACAGATCTATCGAGTAATTTTCAAACAAAAGTGGTAATCAAAAAGAACAGTGTCTGCTGAGCATTGGTAACAAACCCTGTTCTCTCGCCAACTTGTTTATACCCTAACACGAACGCAAGTTGAAGGCCAGGAATAATAAAATTTTTTTTTTTTTCTTTTTCTATTGATATGTCAAGAGCAGCGAATATATGCGCGCTGGCACATATTGTATCCCAGAGTGCAATATTTATTGGTTCATTGCTGGCCATATTACACATTAAGCCGAAATAAGCAACGCTATTAAGATTAAAAGTTCAACCTATGGCATTATGGCAAAAATACCAATTTGAATCACATAAGAAAATTGATTGCAACAATGTATAATATTTCTAGGAGTAAAGTATATTCGCCTGAGTGGCCGAGTAGGCAGAGAGTCTCGACTAGCAACTCACTGAATGCGGGTGTGGCGAAGAGTGTGAAGTTATATTGACACATAACTAGCAAAGACACAAACTAAAATTTTTTACAGGGCTCTGTAAAGCCGTTAACAGAATTCTGTTAAACGAAGTCGCGGAA